TGGTGTGTGAACTTGACTCTTTTAGCCTTTGTTCTGCAAAGATCGCCTAGGCGCAGGCCTGGTACTAGACCTGTTTGTTGCAGTGCATGCTTGGAGCGAATGTTCAAGCCTACTCGGGCCTACTGCGAAGCAAACGTGATGCAGGACGAGTGGCCGTACGTGCCAACCGAGAGCGCGTTTGGCATTGCCCGGGCCCCATAGATCATTCACCTGTCTTCAGAGCAGGTAGACCACAGCAGATGCCAGCAACGGCGCCGTGAAGTTCTGATGGTTTTTGGGAACTAAAGAAGACGCCTAGACACCCCACTTTTGCCAACAACCACTATTTTGAAGGCTTTACCTGAGCTGCGAAGACTAGCTGCAGTGTTTCCCGTGCTCTACCAAACCACGCAAACCAACCCACCGGTGTGGCAACGCTTGAGCTCCACATTGCCGCTTGCTGCACATATTGCTGTATGCTCTCACCGATAGAAGGCTTGAAGGTACCACCGGTGAGTGTTTTGAGTTTTGACATGCTGGTTCTCTGCGGATGTGCCCAAGCTCCTGGCTGGTTTCACATCAGGGTGCCTGCAACCTTGCCCTGCATCCCAGGCTGCCCAGCCAGTACAGGCCAGAAGAATTGTTGGCCTGGGCGCTTTGCTTCTCGCATTAGCAGTCATAGACATTGCGCAGGATGCGGTGGATGCCCATGCTGTGCGGAAGGACGCCTGAACAAAGAGTTAAGGGAGAAGACAGCTGGCTGGAAGTTACTGTTGCAAAACTTGGTGTCCAGCACAGTATGTTCTGAGCCATAATCTCAACCGCTTGAAATTTAAGCGGGTCACATAGGGGATAATATACGGGACTACTGTAGGACCCATTAAGGGGATTGCAACATGTTTTCCCCCGCCAGTTTCCATGGGAAAGAAGAGCCTTTGGAGGAAGATGCAATCGCAGAGAATGAAGATTTGCAAGCAGATGAGGAACCCGACAAGGCACGTTGGTCAAAATTGAGCCCTAAAGCCGCCTAAAGCCTAAAGCCTAAACCCTAGATGAACCCTATGTCACCCCTATATAACTCCTATGTAACCCCGAAGTCCAAGTATTTGCGCAAACTTCTTTGCAAGAAGCTGCGGCCTCCTTGGGCATGAGTAGCTGAATTGGGCGTGAGTGCGTGCAAGAAGCAGAACAGGACGAGACAGCAGATGAGGTCTGCTCCGCCGATTTGGGAACTTCAAACGAAGAGGCGCTTGCATCTCATCACGCAGCTGTGGACATACCGGATTGCTCTTGCTGCCATTCTTGCCCCAGGCTTCCCCAGAGGAAGCCGAAGAGCAACCTGCTGAGTCAGAAGAGGTTGCTCAGGACGCTTTTCTGGGGCGAGTTGGTTTGAATAAGTGCAGCCGTGGCCCGATGAGGAATTCGGTCACGGATGTTGACCTTGCAGTAAGCCTTACTTCTTCCCGTAAACAGCATATGACTCAGCAATGGCGCCAGGACGAACCGGTTGCCGAAGCAGCGGATGAGCCTGAAGAAATCAGCACTGCTGATCAGGATTCAAAGGATCTAGAGGCCAGGAACCTGTACTTAGCCAAGATCAGCCTAGTCATGCTAGTGAAGTTTGAGGCAACCGTAGCAGACCCTCATCCAGAAGAAGCAGAAGCTTCCACCGTGGAGCCAATCAAGGCAAGCCGCAAAAGTAGTCAGCAAGATGGGCACAGCAGCTACAGGAAATGCATCGTTGCAGGATGATGCTTCCGCAGACAAGGAGGCAGATGATACGGAGAAGTCAGAGGAGGCGGGGGCCGCTGGAGAGTTTAGATGGACCTGCAGCCAGCACTGCACCATGAAGCCCTCATTGATGATCACATCAGGAAGGTACTCTGAAGTTCCGAAGCTCCTTCCAGATATGGATGCCAGACTTGCCAATATGTTTTGACGTCTTATGTCCTTTCAAGCAGAGTGAAGAAGGCCAGCTTCCCCAGACTCAAGATCCCAACGCAAGTTGGTAACGTTTACTGTGCTTCACAACAAACAGCCTAGAGTACTGCGCCCTGGTTGCGCATACCTGAACCATGCTAAGTCATCTGTGCGCACGTCATGTCATAAGAAGTTAGCTTTCGGGCTTAAGCTGACTTTGGATTTTTCCAGGCCGCCTAGAGGCATGTCGTGCCCAGCAGTAGGATTTCGTTCATGTCGCTGGCCCTAGTGTACTTGTCATTCTATGACTCCAGGACTTCCACAGAGAATTTTGACCTTGCTCCAGGTCGAGACTCCGATGGAGATTCTTTTGCCGGACGAGGCTTTCCTCGAAGGTTTTCTTGATGAGGCTCCATCGCAGCGTATCGCAGATGTGACAGCTTCATCGTGCTCCATCTGTTTGCATCTGCAGCGAGATCCTTGCAGGACACAGGCATGATCAGGCAAGTGAGCCTGCCAAGCCAAAGCTCGCCCTCAAGAAGATCAGTGAGATCAGCCAATCTTGCTGAAGAGGAGGGTGAGAAAGAGGAGGAGAAACTGAAAGAGGTCGAGGAGGAAGCTAAGAAAGTTGAGGCAGCTGCGGCAGAGGAGGCGGAGGACGAGGAGGAGGAAGAGGAGGAAGAGGAAGAAGAGGAGGAACAGGCGGAGCAAGCAGCGGATCCGACAGGCGAGAAGACGGGACCTGAAGCAGAGGCCTGCTGCAATGAAGTGCTGACAGCGATTCTTTCACAGAGCTCCTCGATGTCCACCAGTCAGAAACGCAATTTCAGGCAAAGCCCAAGAAGAAGAAAAAGAAAAAAGAGAAGATCATCAGCCTGCCGAATTGCGCACACATCTGAGCTTTTGAACACCAGATCTCTGTTTGCCTGGCCTTCTCCACACCATGACCGCCTCCCTAGGATCAAATTGTCCCATACTTGTACTTGGGCGGCATGGAGGCTGCCACAGACATAGAAAGTCGGGAGCTTGAAGGGCTTCCCTGCACGACTCGTCGACACGATACTTGTGTTTATCAAGGCATCCGGCGGCAGGGTTTAAATGCCATCTGCTGCTGTTGCCGCACGTTTGCTGCTCGGTTTCTGGCTAAAATGCCAGAGATGCTACAGGCGAAGTGTTTTGCATCAGGATGGAGTTCCCGGATGCGCAGTTTATCGACGGGGTCAATTACTATCGCAAGGGCCCTTGCTAACCAGCACGGAGCAAGGCCGTGAATATGGCTTGCCATGCTCCAGGTGTCGACATAGAAGACATGTCGAGAGAGCCGCTGGATTATTTTTTGAAGGAAGACTGGCCCTCAGAATAGTTCACCTCAGGTGAAGCCACATGGCCGCTGCTGGGAATGGGAATGGTAGCAAGCCAGGAGTTCCAAGTTTTCATTGGCAGGCGACTGACTTCATCCACTCTCACATCAGGTTGGAGCAGTCCGGTCCCAGGCTTTAGAATCTGCCATCAAACTGGATATGGCTCGGTCCAAATTTTCACAGTTAAGGCCGGTTCTCGTCCACTGCAGAGCAGGAGTTTCCCGCTCCGCATCAGTCGTTCTAGAGCTGAGCTCAGATTCTGCAAGCGCAAATCGTCAGCATTGCCGCAGAATCGCCTCCCGTGGCAAGCTGGCCGAGAAATGGCAGAGCACAGAAAATATTGTTCCCATAGACTAACTCCAAACTGCCACTTCCCAGGAGGATGTGTTTAGATGGAGGACATGGTGTTGAAGCATCCCCAAATTCCGCCTTCATTAATGCTTGGCGCAGAGTAGGAAGACCGGAATGTATCCCCAGAGTAGAGGCCCTCAAAATCCAACATCCAGCTGAAGGCTTACTTGGTCGCCTGCCACAACATGTCGCTGGCGGAGGCCTTCACTCTCCTCCGATCACGGAGAAGCATTGTCGCCTGGTGGAATTCTTCAAGAAAGGTGCTTGTGTTTTTCAAAGTTATGTCTCCCTTCCTTGTGAGCTGCTTTTTTTGGTTAGTTGCAGAAGCATCATTTTGGGCATGCATGTCCCTGCAGCCGCAAGGTAACTCCCAATCTTGGATTCTTCGAGCAAGTTTCCATTTGGGAGAAGGCCACCACAGCAGGTTGTTGCAACAGCCGAGCTGATCTGTACGCAGGGTTCATGTCTCTGTGGCCACAGGGTTCCACAACATATATTAAATTGTTGCAGATTCTGAGACCATCCAAACTGCAGCACTTGGACGCTTGCTGGCAGGAGGTGTCTGGCATATCCACAGTGGATCCCATCAAGCAGCTTGATTGCAAGCTTCTGCTACATGATCTCGCCCAAAACTCCTAGCAGCATGGGCCTCTCTCTTGAACCCTCGAGGTACAACCTGTGGTTCGGGACCCCTGAATCCGAACGCAACGTGCCAATCTCAGATTGGTCAGGATGAATGATTCTCGTCGACAGCTCCTATTGAATTTCGATTGGGCTCGTGCGCCTTTGCTAGGCACTTCCAGACCTGCGCCCGGACTAGGCCTTCTGAATGCAGCCGTGGCCGGGTTTGTTTCCAGCTGCATTGTTTCACCCATCCCGCAAGGGAACATCGAAAACAGCGTATTACCGTTCCGGTGACGGGTGATGCCATTGTTTGCTATGCACGTATTCGCAGGCGACAGCAGACGCATTTGTGCCACGTGCTTGGGCTCAAGCTGGCTCAAATGAGTTGTCTGAGCTTGGCCTTGGATTCGAGGATGGTTGTAGCTGTCTCAGCGGGAAGACAATGGATTGCACACTTTGAGTCACTGATTGCGAAGTCGTTCAATCTTCTGATGCCCAATGGGCTGGTGAGATTGCTGGTGTGTTCTGCAATTTGTGTGCTTGCCCGTGGTAGGTGGCTTGCTGTGGCCGAGCGCTTAGCTGTGCAATCCGTGTATTCTGCTGGGTGCTGTCGTGAACTTTGAGTGTCGTTTTCTTTTTGGCGGCTGTGGTGCTTCTAGGTTCAACGGATTCGACAGCTGCCTGAGCTTCAGTTCGCTTCGCAAACAAGGAGGGGGGGTGCGCAGAGTTATAGACCTCCAGCACCTCCTATGTGACAGGGGCCCAATGGCTCTCTTGAAGCTGCAGTCTGCACTGGAGAATGCTTTGGTGCTGCCGCCCTGCATTGGCTTGTTCTTTGGAAACTGCGCGCCTCCGTAAGAGCAGTGAACTGGCAGGGCGGGCTCAGCCTGGAGGCAGCCGCCGTTGCAGAAGTTACAGAGCCATCGCAACTGCTTGCTTCAAGAGCCATCATGCCAGCAATGCCAGGAAGGCACGGATGAGGGAGAGCACGCGGAGTCCCAATTGTCACATGCCCGGCTTGGACTGAGTCCAAGCCCTTTGAACCACATTTGTTCTGCAAAGGTCTGCAAGGCCCAGTGAAAGAAGGGCCGACGAGGAGGAACTGGTTGTGAGAGGCGGAAAGGCCAGCGCCAAGAACTTGTTTGGAGAACTTGAGGGTTTGCTGGGCATTGACCTTTGCCTGCATTCTTTTGCAGGGAAGCACAGCCATGTGGAACACCCGGATGCCTTCTGCCAGAAGCTCATTCTGTTCTTGAGCTAGGTCAAGGAAGCCACAGCTACTCGAACAGGTAGGATACTGCAGCACCGCCTCCACAACGCCATTGGCAAGTGTGCTGATCTCAGGCTGAGGTGCTTATGCGCGCTCAGATTGAAGCTTCTTTGAGGCTGGAACGTCAGCCGGGTCTTATGCTCAAGAAGGCAGAAGTGGAGAGCTCACGCCATCAATGCAGGCTGCAAGTCCCGTGCCTTTCATTTACAGCCATGTGCTATTTGCACATTGCCACACATTGTCAGGAAAGAGCAAGGGAAGAGTTGCTGAGTGCTCCAGGGCAACATGGTTTGCTGCCAGGAGGCCCCTGCCCTGCTTCGGAACAGCACTGGTTGTGCGGAACTTTCTGTTTGCCAGGCCTAGGCCATTTTCGTCTTGGCACCAGCTGTCTTCAGTCCGCCACAGGGTGCCATGGCCCAATGCGTAGCCTCTAACTTCAAGAGTAGGCATTCCCTACATGCCAGGCCGTTGGAAGCCTTGCCAATTGAGCAGCGGATAGAAGAGGCTGAGGCCCACCTCAGAGAGTGGTTTGCTTTGCTACTGTGATACTGCAGAAAAGTCCCCTGTGACCATTGCAATCAATGATGGCTGGATATGGCTGGCATCTGTCACTTTAGGCTTCGAATCAATTGACCTCAGCCTGCGAGTAGTCAGATATGAGATCGCGAAAATGCCTTTGCAGCAGCATCGCAGGCTGCGGAGGCCAAGCTGCAAGCCGATTTAGTCGGCTTGGGCTCGCTGAGAGAGACGAGCAAGGCCATTTCGTCTACATGTTCTACGTCAAGTCTCTGAAGCATAGATTTGTTGCATGGAGAATAACTCGGGACGCTGCGTAAGGCGGCAAGACACCAGATTAGCAGGATGCCGCAACAAACAAGCAATCACATCAGACTGGAATGACGGCTACAAAGTAGTAAGCCCTGAGAAGCCGTGTTGCTCAAGAGGGATACACGCCCGGCCTCATCACTCAGATACAGAATTTTGCATCCTCCCCATCCCTAAACCCTAAACCCTAAATAGTAGTTTCCATTTCATTTTCCATTATCCCAACATAATCTCAATATAACCCCAATATTACTCAATGGGTACCTATCTCCCTTAACCCCAAACCCTAAACATTAGTTTCCATTTTCTTTTCCATTATACCTATATAACACCTATAAAGCCAGGACCCGGTGGCAAGTGATGCCTTGCTGCTGGCCCAAGCTTCTCTGCAGACGAGAGGAGCACCAGGCCGACCCATTACCCCAGTTGTCAACTCCCACAAGTGTAGCATGGGCTCGTGTAGCATAGTATTACTATGACCATTACTATTACGTATTACTATTATGAAGGAGGCCAAGGGGCAAAAGCAAGCAGCAAAATTCAAGCAGCAAAAGCTGCAAGCAAGCAAGCAAGCAAGCAAGCAAGCAAGCAAGCAAGCAAGCAAGCAAGCAAGCAAGCAAGCAAGCAAGCAAAGGAAGGAGAGCAAGCTTACAGTAAGATCAGTTGCCATTCTGCTTCCCTGCCAACGCATGCCGCTTTAGCTGTCCTGCAAGGGGTACTGCCTCAGTAGCACAATCCGTAAGTTTCCCTGCCAGGAGCTTCCTCGAGCCCAGTGCAGATCCTCCCGGAGTGATAGTGAGGGTCACCCAGGAAATACCTTTAATGTCTTAATTTGTTATAGCAGCCAGCGTCCTGGTTTGCCTGTATTGGCAGCCTCTCTGCGTGGCTGCTCATCCAAGGTCCGCAGGAGTTTCATGGCAGTCAGAAGGGACTACAAGCGCGGCAAACATACCTGATCACAGATCTTTGCGGACAATGGTTTGAAAGGTGTCACACAGTTGTTAGCTTGGGAAATGCCAGCCCTCCGAGCAGCAACGCTCTGAGTTTTAATGGTTCATTGGCTGAACAGCTTCAGGCTCGAGAGTGGCTCGCTGCTGGGCCAGGAAGTGCTCAGCCCATCAATGAAGATGGGGTTTACGTTAATGCTGCTGCAGTCAAACTGTAAGCGGACTTGTGTGCTGCTTCGGCGCTCACTCAAGTGCACCCTGCACACGGCAGGGCTGCCATGCATGTTATCGACTCAGACGACTATACCAGACAATTGGGGGTTTCTGTTCACGTGCCATAACAAGCACAGGTGTACCGATAGGCAGAAATGGATACCTGACCGTGGAAAGCTCCCATATCTGGAAAGCGTTCTGGCGTCTTTGCAGGGCTTTGAGGCTTGAAAAAGGCGACGCGCTCCCGGAATTTGATGGGAAGGATCTATGGCTTCAAATGACGCAAGGGACAGGAGATGATGGGACAAATGTGATTGGTAACGTCAGATAGCAATCGCCTAGTACGTGCAACTACTTCCCATAGCTCCAAAGCAAATGATCTGCAAGCCGGGGCACTTGACATAAGTAGTTTGTGGTATGTTTTACAAGTTCTGCATGTAGAATTTCTAAAATCCTAATACATCCCTTTGGATTAGAGTAGGATCCGAAGGGCTCATATTTGCATTATCAAAAGCTCGCTGGTCATGCTGGACCCGTCGCCCCTCCAGTGAGCTCTGTGTTCTTGAGAAGATGGCTTCACAACCATTCTAGGTTTGTCAGGCGAGCAGAGAGTATGCAGTGTGATTGCCCGTTGGCCAAACTCCTTGACGTCATGTTCGCACCGACCGCTACAAGCTATTGAGGGCATCGTTGATATGAACCGTGCGACGCCTCTTGCCGTCCTTCAACTCAAGGCTCCAAAGGGTAGGCAACACCCTTGTGACTGCACTTGTCTTGTTCCTTGGTAGATCATGGCAAGACGTGGGATTTGTGAGCGGATTTCGTACGGAAGCAAGTTTTACGAAGCTCCCCACCCTCCTAATCTTTAATCCTCCAGTTGTGGTCTAGTATATTTATTTAGAAGCTGTGAGGGTCCTTCAGGTTGGATGCGTGTGTGGCATGTTGAGCATCTAAGTCCCGAGACGTTACCTCGCTGAAGGGAAGGTGGCGCGGAAATAAATGCAATTATGCGGCTAGAACCCAAACTGGGGCACAGGAAAACATGTCACTATATTATAGTTCTGTATATATACATATATGAAGCATCAGGAGCCCTAGGAACCGTGACTATGAGTTCCGCAAGAGAAGGAAAAACAAAGGGCTAAAGCTGTCCAAGCCGGCATCAACATGAATGGCAATGGCTTGCTCAGAGGCACAAAGATGGCCTCCAACACGTCAAGTTCCGGGCGTGGTATAGCTCGTGCCAAGATGAGCCGAAAACACTTTGTGTGCATGGCGTTTGCAGCTATAGCGCCTTATCTTTTCTTTGCTTCCACCCTGGGGCCGGACCTTGCAAGCTTTACTGCTTCCAGCACTTCAGTTTTTCATGCGCCACGAAGATTCAGCAGGATGCAGCATTGCGTTAGCACGCGCCAAGTCTTGTCAGATTCCATGCAATTTCCGCGCCATCCAGACAACAAGGAAGCCAACAAGGTCTTGGAGAAGGCGGAGAGGTTGGCCAATCAGATCTTGCTGAGCAATTCGACTCTGCAAAAGCCGCGCGATGTGGCAGGGAGGGTTCTCGCGCAAGACCGTGTCTACGCGAACACCTTTGTGGATCTTGGTTCAGCAAAGGTTGTGGGGTTTGACTATGATTATACACTTGTCAGCTACAAACCGGCTGTGTTGCATCTTATCTACCGACTAGCGACGAAGCAGCTCGTGAGCCAATTGGGGTATCCAGCAGAGTTGGAAAGTGATCTGCCCGGGTATGACGCCAGATTTGCAATCCGTGGCCTTGCTGTAGACTTGAAAACCGCTTGGATTTGCATGCTGACTTTGAGATACCGTGTGTCCATTGCCTTCTTTGGACGTGAAGAGGTTGATCCTGTCACCGTGCAGCAAAGTTACCGCAGTGAGACAGGGTCTGGCATCCTCCCTCCTGAGGAGCGGAAGAAGCGATTGAAGCCTTTGAACGACATGTTTAGTACAGCGGAGGCGTGTCTGCTAGCAGATGTGGTTCAGTGGTTTAGAACACGCGACATTCCTTTTGATCCTAGAAGTGTTGTCACTGACGTTTTAAATGCTGTGACAAAGGCCCACATTTCGGAAGAGGTACACCGTTCCATCTGCAATGATTTGGAGAAGTACCTGGAGCCAGATGGGCAACGTTTACGCCAGCTGCTGGACAAGCTGCGCCACAGTGGTAAGAAGTTGATGTTGGTATCCAACTCGCCGTTTTGGTTTGTCAACAAAGGCATGGTCTATGTCTGCGGGGAGGACTGGAGAGCACTCTTTGATGTTGTGGTTGTGTCTGCAGGCAAGCCAGCCTTCTACACACAGACACGTCCCTTCCGAGAGGTCTCAACTCGCACAGGGAGGATCAAGTTCAAGCCCATTGATTCGCTGAGTGCTGACGAAGTGTACTGTCAAGGATCCATCGGGGAGCTGGTACGATTGCTGGGCTGGGACCATGCCTCCGAGTCCGTGGATGGCTCCAGCATTATCTACATGGGTGACTCGCTTTTTGCGGACCTGGTGGATGCGCGTCGACTGTATGGTTGGACAACCGGAGCAATTATTCGTGAGGTCGGCCATGAAACCGAGGTACAAGCAAGTTCAAATTGGCAGCAGGCATGGAGAGTTCTACAGGTGGTCACGCTTTGCACGCGACAGTGCCAAGATTCGTATGTTGCAGGGAAGGATGCTTGCCATGCTTTTACGGAAGAGGACAGACAGGTCCTTGACCAGCTCGAAACTTTGGCTGCAGACTGGCGCAGTCGTTTGGACACGCTCATGAATCCGAATTTCGGCTCCATTTTTCGGACCTCACGTGACAATGGACAGACCGCACAGCCATCTCTGTTTGCGCGATGCTTGCAAAGACACGTGGACTTCTACACCTCCAAAGTAGAGAACCTGCTTTTCTATTCGACAGACCACCGTTTTTATCCAGCTGATTATTCGATAGGCGTGCTTCATGAAATCCTGCATCTGACAGACCCTATATCAGATGCGCTGCAGGAAGCCGACGATAGCTGACTACAAAATGTCCTGTTGAGTCCAGTTCAGGCTCTGCTGTTTCATGCAGGTGCTTTCTGAAGTGCACGCAGTCAATTTTTTGACATGTGTGCTTCAGTGACAGCTCAAAGCCCCACTTCAAGCCCAGAATCCTGCAGCGCATGCCAGCAGCCAAACAGACAGCCCCGAATACCCCAACAGGTTTCTGGTACCTAGTGACAGCTGTTTTTTGTAACCCATCCCTACCCGTTAAATTCGACAGGGTCTTGCCCAAAATCATTTAGTTCAGGCAAGTGTTATGCTGACATTGTTAGAAATTTGCCCGATGCGGCGCTGCCTCATGCGCTAACTTACCGGCATCCAGTCCAGCTCGTTTCTAAGGATCCCTATAAGAGCTTAATGCCATGTACCAGCAATGGCCATCGACATCATGGCAGAGGCAGGAAGCAACTCAAGAACTGGGCGCTGAAGAGTTCAACAATTGGTGAAGGTACCCAGCATCTCTGGCGCACCCTCGGCCTTGCAACCTGGGAAGGCGCCAGATCATCACAGCCTGACTGCTTGCTGCTTGACACGCTCATCACTTGCAGGTCGACGACGCTGCGATCTTGAGGCGCGCTTCTATGGAACACGCGGAATGTGTCGAACTACGATCTCCCGCAACCGCGAGGTGCATAGATAAGCTCCAAGCATGGGATGCTTCCAGATTCGAGGCCGTAGTTGTTGCTAGGTCAGCCTTGCAACTGTGCAATGTGTTATATTGCTTGTAGCGAGGTCCTGGCGACGCTGCAAAGTTGTCCGCGAAATGCCGGGCAAGTACGACTAGTGCAGGCGCTACACATAGGGTGAGTTCCGGGTGCAATCATGCTTGACTCAAAGTAGAAAATCTGGAGCTTCTCATCCGTGCTGGATGACAGGATCGGTCAACAGGGCGGCGGCTGGCAGTTAAAAGAATGCCACTGTCCTGGACCTGCGAGGACCCGTTGCCCGAAACTAGAAGCGTCGAGGGTAAATAGAGAGAAACGGCGCCTGAGAAGCAAGAGCTGGCAAACCCTTGTCTCCCCCCAATCGGAGACCCATGGCGCAGGTGGAACTGAGTCTCGTTCCTTCGTCAAAAGATCCATGCAAATTCGATTGCTCATCAGTTTCCAGGCCTCATGTTAAGGCGGAGTGAGGAGTTATCTAAGGGAACAAGGTGACGCAGCCTGAGGCTACAGGATAACATCACAACAACGATCCGACAGAGATGTGTGTACAGCCGTTCTTGGAGTTGTGCCGTCTTTTGTCTGGTGGACGGATGCAGAGGCTGCCTGCTCCAGATGTACTACAAGCAGCTTTTTGTGCTGTGTTTCCTTTGCAGACACAAAACAGCCTGAAGCTTTGAGAAGCTTGCAGAGCTCAATTGCACTTCAACTAGAAGCAGTAGCAGCTGCTGTTGCCGTTGCTGCCGCTGCTGTTGTTGTAGCTGTGGTGATGGTGGTGGAGGCAGCGGCGGCGGCGGTGGCGGTGGCGGCCGCGGCTGTGGTGGTGGCGGTTGCGGTGGCAGCGGCGGTGGCAGCGGCGGTGGCGGTTACGGTGGCAGTGGCGGTGGCAGCATTGCACCAGCACCAGCCGCAGCATGAGCAGTAGTAGAAGCAGCTGTCAACTAACAGCTAATGCTGAGTCTGCTACTGACTGGGCGACGCCCGCAGCTACCACAATCCGTGCTTTTTTTTTGTGTTCTTGGTGTTGACGGTGTTCGGCAAACACCAGCCCGGGAGGATGCAGAGTCTTTTTCCGTGGCGCACCCCACCGAGACGGAGGTGATGGGAACGATTAGGAACAATTGCTAACATCTCTTGAATCTAAACCCTGGAAATCCCTGGAACTACACGCAAGATGTGCACCTCTTCCATGTGCAAGAAAAGGTGCCCTGGATGGACATGGCTGCCACAAGGCCAGCTTGCAATGCCTCGGATCTTCCCTAGCAATGCAAACGCCTGTGATACCTTGACAGGTGGCTGAACATCGTCGGCTTCCAGCATTGTGTTGAGTTCGGGGGTGTGTTTCTCGACAACGACTACGTTTCTTTCGTCATGGGTCTGGCGGAGGCCCGGTCAAGCATGCAGCAAAGTGCCAGCTGTGCGCCAGTTTCAGTGTTCTGGCTCATCCTCTTCAACAATTGATATTGTCAGGGTGGTGACCTCTTCACCTTTGTAGATGCAATGGGCCTGCCAGGCGTGCTCCGTACTTTTGCCGTGCTTTTGAGACCGCAAACTTACCTCATTCCTGGGGCACTGGCAAATGCGCTTGCAGAACCCGGCCCTGTCCTTGAAGAAGCGCTGCGGCCAATAGCTGCCGGGGCCGTCAGAGCGGAAGAGTGTAGATGTTGGAACTCATGTTGAACCTGCCATGGCAAAGCGGCACAGGGCCTCCAAACACATTCGCGCTGAGAGGTCGAATTCCTTAGTGCCGTGAGTCGGCTTCATGGGTCATCGGCTCAGCCTTCGACGCCTGCGACAGACCAGATTCCGTGCAACCAGACATTTCCTTGAAGTGGTTGCTGTATTCAACACCTGTGCTTCCTGCGACGGTGCCGTTTGTCTGCTGGGTAGCTGGACTATGCTGGACTCCTCTGCTTACGCAGGCTTGGCCTGGCTCATCGAGGCTTTGTGCCATAGGGTCACTTGAGAAACTATTAACAGGGATAAGATTAGTCATATAGTAACATTTTAAATAGTAAACATAGTAATAGTAGGAATGATAGAATATTTTAACAAAAATAATAATACGCAGCAAATCGACTTGCCAGACCTTTCGCTGGAGAACGTCTTGTTAGCCAATGCGAAGGTTGGATGAACTTTTTTTGTCACGGCTTACGGTTTGGGCCTGCTGTCCTAACGCTCACCAATTCACCGCCTTGTGCCAGGGTGGGCCTATATACTTGATCGACTACAGCATGGCAACTACACAGAGATTCCACACAGGACATTACAGTGTCCTTCATTTTCTCTGCCTGCCGGTGGTTGCGTTTCTAGTTTTTTCAAGGGAGGTGTTGTTATCATTCTGTAGAGCGACTCCTTTGTCGACGTCATTCTGCTGCATGGTTTCGCAGTGGTTCGTTTCGGAGCTGCGCTTTCGGGTTGCATCTCTTGGGCTGTATGCGTAGATGGTGCGATGCTGACCTGTTCTGTCACGCCACCCTATCATTTCAGCAAGTTCACCCGGAGGCAGGGGAAAATCTTTCGAGTTGAAATGCATGTGGTAGAGATGCGGGTCACCAGTCAGCGTCTGATTGGATGCCACAGCATGTCTCCTGAAGGAGGTCTTGGCAAACCGAGGGATGTTATCCCAGGTCGTTTTGCCTTTCTGTTCCTAGCAGTGCGTTAAAAGGAGACAAGGGGGCGAGTGGCAGAACCAGCGCTGCCGTAAGCTAAAGCCTGGCGTTCGTGAGCTACCATAAGCACCGCAAGCTCCGTCAAGGGTGCGCTGTAAGCTAGAAGCCGAAACCTGGGTTGCATGAGATATCATAAGCAAAAATGGTACCGTCCAAAAAGCGTGTCAACCCTGTGCTCACCGCTGAAATGAGGACCAGCCTGCGGCAAAGCTTCGTACATTGCGCCAGAGGCATCTCCAGCATGTTATTACTTCAGCCTTCAAACATCTAGTCCCCCTTAAGTAGATAGAATGTGGCTTTGGGTACATTATAACAAGATCCCAATATACCCCATATTCTATCTACTTAAGGGGGACTATGAGCCTTCAGAGAACCAGCCTTTTGCCTGAGATGCATCTGGGCGACGGTTACGACGCTTTTCAGGTGGCTTGGAGGAATAAAGAATCTTTTGAAAGTGGCACAGAGACGAAAATGCTTAGGCTGACGCGTTCTCCTGTGGGGTCATCCTCTACGCCTTGTTTGCCAAGGACCAGAAAATACTAACAATAATATAATGCCAACGAAAATTGAAATAAGAACAACCGTAATAGCAATACTAATAGTATTAATGTGGGAATCTGTTATTACCCGCCTATAATGAATAGTCAAATTGAAAAGAATACGGACAATGAAATGGAAACTGGGATTACGTAGGGTTTTTAGGGACTATGTGCCGGGGTGGCCCTGTGAGCTTTGCGGTGCTGATCTGTCAGGACTACCCTTGGATATCAACCAGGGCAGGTGCGTGCAAGTGCTTTGAGTGAGCCTCCCATTGCCTTTGACACATTGTTGCTTGCTTGTTTGTGCCTGGGCAGCAGGGAGATCTTGGGGCGAATGCTGCAACTGTCAACCAGGTACGTGCGCAAGAATGGCTTTTTAAGATTCATGGCAAAGCGACGTATCATCGTTGGCGACGAGAAAAAACCAGTCGACAAGGCTGGCCCTCACAGATTAGCTAGACTAGAAGTTTTCAGATTCCTGCTTTTTGTTTTATCTTTGAATGTGACATGGTTTAGTAATAGCCAAGGTGATGTCGAAGCCCTTTGCACAGCTTCTGGATGGACTGTTGCGATTCTCGCCCGAGGCGGGGATGGTTTGCTGTGAGATGTTCCGCTGCCATCTGCTGCGGCATGGTTGCTTGAAAGAGTATTCCCTTGCATTTACTGCAGGACCGCTTAGTAATCCTTGACGAAGATCGTCCAGGCTTCGGCCATGATTCCCTAGGTTGTAACAGTAAACTATACTAGTTACTAGTAATTATTATGGTGATTATAATGGTAATTATACTGGTAATTTTCTTATAGTAATTTAATAGTAATACCGTATTACCTAATACTAATAGCATGTCTCTCGTATCCAGTGCTTCCGCCAGCTTCTTTATCAGGCCGAGCTGCTGGCAGCATATGGGCCTTGCCCCAAGAGAGGCTTTCAAAAGTCCTTGTTGTCGTGGCTGCACAAAATGGTTATTGCACATTATTACGAATGATATTGCTCTTAAATCGCTATAAAGAGTTACCATTACTATTATGATTACCATAATAAATACTATAGAAATTTCCGCAATAATTGCCATTATAAGTGTTATACTAATTACTATTATAACTACCTACTATTCTATAATTACTATTACAGCCTAGGCTCAAGCTTGGTTGAAGAAGGCACTGGCCTGGTTTGTGGGTACTTGCACTGCATACACACCCCGTGGTTTTGCACCTGATGACGGAGGCAACCGAAGCACCACCTGAATCCCTTGAATGATATGGGAGCAGCAGCCTTGGCATAAACTGGCCTGTGATTTGTTGGGAATGAAGGAATTGAAAAGAAAAGGTAAACTACTACAATGGGTTATATAGGGACTGCTATAAGGATCCATTGCAGCAGCCTTTCATATACCAAGGTAGTAGGGCAGTCTTGTCAATTGCCAAGGAGTTTCAGAACAACCTGACGCTCTAAAGCCGCTCTGAGAGACCGAGAGCGTTTTCCGGATTGATCGATTCTACACAATCGCTTCACTAGACTGGGTTGCTGTTAAGGAACTAAATTTAAGTTACTATATTGGGGAAACCCTATTATTTACTGTATATACCCATTATGGTAACTTAATTTAAGTTCCTTAACAGCAACCCAGTAGAATTTCTAGGCATTCTGGAAGTGCAAAAGAACCATCCGGCAGCGCTGCCCGGGAGTTGCCATTGACTCCGTGTTTTTTGCGGCAGCAATGGTAGGTTCCATGGTTCCACACCCTGAATAAGGGATATTCCGGAGAGTCTTGGTGACCCTTGCGTTGCCAAGCATGCTGTTCCCTGATTCAGCAGAGGTTGCAGCATTTCAAGGCTTGCCTTGCGGGCCATTGTGTTAACACACATTGTGCTTAAAAACATTGCATGCCGTGTGACTTTTTTTCCAGCTATACTCTCGCTGCCGCCTTGGCTGTGGTGTTTACAGCAATTGCCAAAGGAATGCCTGGCTCCTTCTAAATGCCTTGGTTGTTTTCAGTTTTGATTCGAACTTCGAATGACTCAGCGATTCAGCTTGTCTACGGATTCAGCTTGTCTAGATCAAGTAGTCATGCACTTGGCATCAGGAGCGTGTGCACGAGGCATTCTTTTTGGACAATGGCTTCTCAGCTAACACATGCGGCTGGACGCGGCCCTCACAGGAGCCTAGCGCATGCGCATAGGTTTATAGCAGGGCGACTAGCATGTATTTCGAGGCACCTGTGAAGGCTGTAGGCACTTTGCTATTCCACAGATAGTTTGCCCCAGCGGCATCGTATCACTTGGCCACACAGCAGTTGCCAAGCTCCATATGAGGCGTGATGAGGCTTCAGAGCTTGGTTAGACTGCAGAGCACATGAGCCTTTGGCTCTCGGAGATCGCAATCCGCGATGAGAGCGAAACTGCTGTTGAGCACCCACGCGTGGAATGTACGTGCAGGCTTGAACGTATTTCCGACTTATTTGGTGCACTTTTCGCAGTTTGGCCCAAGATGCGGTCAAGCAGAACGATGGCCTCGTTCAGCAGCTTTCATATTTGTCCTTGGGTTGCAGCCAGTCAGCGGTGCATCAGAAGTGTTTGGGCCTCAATCCCATGCAATGTAAGGTCTATCTCAACTAAGCCTCTGCCTCAGTTTGTGTTGTTCTAGCACACTTTCTTTTTGCAAAGGCCGTATGCAGCTCGATATTTCTGTCTGAGGTTGTAGCAGATGGCTCCGAGTTGCGGTGCTTTTGAGTGTCATGGTTGGGGTGACGGCGAAACACAGAATTCATCGGAGCCCATCGCCACCTCAGCGCTCAGAAGTTCCTCGTATTCGGACGTCCTTAAATGAGTCGTTTGCGAAACGTCACAAATTCAATGCAAGCGAGCCTTACCTTTCATTTGAGCATCGTGTTGGTAGGCATGTCAGATTGTAGTACCCAGCTTTCACTCCTTTCTGAGGTGAATGCCTAGCGAGAATTGCAGTTTCCTCCTTGGCAGAACGGGTCCTGGTCGGCCCTCCCAAGGGTCATGCTAGCCTGTAACCTTGAACAGGACCTGTGCATTTGACAGGCAGGCATGGCCCTGCGGGCAGCAGCAAAACAGGAAGCATTACAGAAGAAAGCACACAAAAGCACTCCTGTGATGTCGGCACGCTGGAAACAGCAATGCTGACGAACTCATTGAACTGTTAATGCCACCACGAACCAATGTCCACCACAACCCACCGCCAAGCAGCACCATCCACTGCGTGCTCCACGCAATTGCTCATTACAGCCCGGCATGACCACGTTGAGCAGTTAGCAGTGACGACGACAGATGTGCTGATGGCGGTTAGCTGGTATGGGGGACGCTTCTGTGGACATACCCAATCCGACAGCATGCAACACTAACGTAGGCACAAATCCTTCATAGTCACAGATGTGAATCGCGGCCGTACGTCCAACTCGTGCTGCATGTGATGTGCTAAGGAGAATCACTCTGCCGAACATCTACACATGTTCAGCCTTATGAGCAACTTAGACGCCAAGAGTGCCAAAGCCATCGCGTGCCGGCTACATTGCAAAGAATGCTCCGTGGAAAGCGGACTCTGTAGTGTTTGCGACAACTCGATGAGCGGGGAGCCTACTGTTTGCACATCTTGCTTGATAGTGCAGGGGCAACTGCCCATTCTGATGCTCACCGAGGCCTAGACCCCACAAGCGGCAACTGCGTAGCAGTTTGCCCACTGGGATACTTCTCATCCGGTAGCGGCAAGTCGGACAGGATATGCCAACCCTGCAGTTCGAATTGTAACAAATGCCTCCATGGAAGCGAGTGCCGCTTGGGCTGACACGAATTTGCTACCATGTGGCGGTATGCATGCAATCCCTGCAGTGAGACTTTCCAAGGCTTGGAATGCAAGACTTCCATGTACCTCTCGAACAAGACGTGCCAGCCGAGCTGCCCCACGGGCTTTTACAAGCATGGAGCTAGTGATGTGGGCAGGACTTGCCTGCCCTGCTCCAGGAATTGCAAGCAATGCCCAGACTGGTTTACATGTGATGAGTGTGAACCTTCTGCATACCTTACAAACACTGCCAGCTGCGTCACAGCTTGCCCTGATGGATGCTTTGCTGCATTCTGTTTGTGATGCCAATAGTCTGACAATTCACTGCTCGTCCATGTTCTGCTGTCAGGATTTTACGCAGATGGCAATGGCCTTGTTGGTGGAGTCTGCCGTGCTTGCGATGCAACATGCAGAAAGTGCAGCGGGCCGATCGCGTGCAGTGAATGTGCAGGATCACGATACCTCACGCCCTTCTTCCAATGTGAGGCGAATTGTCCTGTGGGCACGTATACACACGGTCAGGGTCCAGTGGGTCGTCAATGCCTCCCTTGCCCTCCGGGCTGTTCAGCGTGCACAAGTGCTTTGAACTGCCTGGAGTGCGTGGAGGACTTCTACCTTGCTCCTGACCAGATGTGCACACAGTCCTGCCCAGATGGATTTTATGGAACGGACAGCCGCGCATCCATCTGCACGTCCGCCTTCTCCAAACGCTTTAACCTGGATTCCTTCTCGGTACCTGCCAGGGGCATGTCGGAGATTGTGTTGGTTGCTGATGAGCCGCCAGAGAGTTGCTGCGCTGCCTGCGTAGCCGCTGAGGGCTGCGGAGGATTTGAGGTGATTGATGGCAATTGCCACATGAAGGGCGACTTGGGAAAGCTGACCAGGTGGGGGCCACATTGACCGCATAAGTCTGCCAAGAAATTGACCTCTTAATTCAGGTCTGGAAGCCGTACATACTTCGAGAAGCTGCCTAGAACGCATCCAGTTTTCTCTGGCGCGACGCGCTACTGCACGCCGTGCCCAAGCCATTGCAACTTGGCCGAAGCGTTGTGAGGCTACAGCGACTGCTACAGCTGTTTGATCTTTCCAGCTACTTTTGAGTTGCTTGCGCTTACTGCAGGTAGCTCGTGCACAATGGATGGTCAGTGCACCGAATGTATGGCCTCACAAAGCCTGAGCTTCCTAGCGCGATGTGATCAGGAGTGCCCTGCAGGCTACTACAAGACGCTTGCCGGAGCAGAATGACTTGTAATTTCGCCAAAGTGCAAGCATGTGCAAGCTGGAGTGGCGACGTGTGTTGCCTTGTTCAGGAATGGGACTGATGAAGTGGGGAATCTTTGCCAAGAGTGCATCGCTGCTTGCAGCCAGTGCGAGAGCGAGACCGTTTGCACTGAGTGCCGCGAGTTCAAATTCCTCACGCCAAACAGCACCTGCGAGGCCAGCATCTCGGAATGTGCTCGTTGTGTTTGTGTCTGATACAAAATCTTCCTCTAAGGCCGCTTGCCCCGACGGATTCTTTCCAAATGGTACGGATGAGATTGGAGGCATTTGTTCAAGGCCTGGTGCTCCGGCAAGCTGCAAGCTGTAAGCAGGTTGTTCAGCCTCTTAGCCTCGCAGGTGCAAGGAGGGATGCACGAAATGTACGTCGTATGAAGTGTGCACGGAGTGTGGGCCGCTCCACTACCTCACGCCTGACCACAAATGCAGCAAGACCTGCCCGGATGGTTACTATGCAGACGGCGAGCCTTCGTCAGTCGGAGGCAATTGCACGGAGTGCGTACCGCCCTGCAGATTGTGCAGATCCGCAGAGAGGTGGGGAGCCAGGTGCCGTGCATATCTTTGGTTGAAGCACTTACTGCTTTCATCCTGCATTGTTTGCGCAGGTGTGTACAATGCGCAAACTTCAGCTTCTTGACGCGGAATTTCACCTGCGAAGAGGAATGCCCCGACGGTTTCTTCTCGAACTACCCCAACCAGGATCGTTTTTGTTGTTTCTAGCATGAGGCTGCTTTCTCGTACCCTGGTTTCACGCAGTAGTCTGGCCGAAATCACAGGATGTGGAGCAAGCGATCGGACGTGCCATGGTTTTAAATCAGTTTTCCATAGCCTTTCCAAACTGGGTTGTGCTTCTCAGTATTTTGCAATACTCATGCAGACGAGCCGCACTGTTGTTCTGGCTGTACTGGTTATAATTAGTTGGCGCGACAAGATTGGAGTTTGGCCACCAAAAGCCGGACTGAACTGTGGTCGCACACGCACGGTCCGCAGAAGGGGATGGCTTCGCGGAAGGCTCGCGGAAGCACCTCCTAAGACAGAACCCAGAGTCCAGCTGGTCAGTGAAAGCATGACCAGGAATCACCTTCCACAGAAATGGCGTTGTTGCTTAAGATGGCAATGCGCAAAAACTGGTTCGGCGGTTGCGGTTTCAGACTTGCCGAGGAGAGCTTCGCGGAAGAAGGGGTGAGGTTTCCAGGCTTTTTGGAAGCTGCCTGCCCATGTCTCACGTAATTGTGTGTCAGGAGCAAGCGGTAAGGGATGGCAAGGGCATGCCATGTCAGTTTCCGTTACTATCGTTGCTCATTGGTGAGCATAGGTTTACGTGTAGCAGGTTAGTCAGGAACAAGCGTAGCGCCACCAGAGTCCAAGAAAAGGACAGACTTTTGTCGGAAGCAGAAGAGTTCGTGAATTGTTTGCGGTAGCCGAGATAGATATTGAAAATTGAAGGGCGCTCTGAGGCGCTCAGGGCCCCGGAAGGATGCGGAAGGATTTCGCGGAAGGGGTTCGTGGATGCTTGTGGAACTAGTTCGCGGAAGTGTGTTTCTCGTCAGAAGGATATATTATATACATCAAAACAGAAATCAAGGGTGCGGACCCAGACTTCGGGGACGCCAGGTGAGCACAGACGCTATATAGCCCGAGGCCATTCCAGAGGGTCTTGCTGTAGTTTGTTTGAAGCAAGTATCTGGCAAAAGCAAGACAGCATACCACTCTCTGCGTCATCCAGCCAAGACGAAGCCGAGGTACGTGTCTGGCTTGTAGATTTAACGAGGGCAGCTGCAAGAATGCCCTGGACAGCGTGGCCAAGCGCTGGGTGGCATCATTGCTGCAAGATGCGAATGATACGTCCTTCGCTCAGTCTGCTCTTGTGACTGAGTCTTCTCTTGTCAATGCTATTGACGGCAGAACGGATGGGACATGTGGGCCACTTAGGTCTGAGGTGGAGTTCACAGTCCTGGCAAACGAGTGCAGGAACGGGAAGTATCTCACTCCAGAGAGAAGTTGTCAGGACAGAGAAGCTTGCTGGCCGCCATATGTCAACAGGCGATATCCCAAGGTTGGCAGCCTCAATGAAAGCAGACCAGATGATGGTTTGATCGGTGGAGTATGCGCAGAGTGTCCAGATGATTGCAATCAATGTGAGCTCTGGGACAAGTGCACAGAGTGCCGGCACTCAACGTACTTGTCACCGGATGATCGTTGTAATGATACCTGCCCAGAGACTCACTACCCCCACAACCCCAAGGAGAACGAGACGGATAGCAGTGTAGGGAGGATTTGCGTGGCTTGCGAGGGCAACTGCAGCCATTGCATCACAAAGACCGAGCCGCGGCAAACTTAAGCCAGGGTTCAACTAACTGACCTCGCGTTCACAGATTCTGTGCTGTTGCTCTATCGTTTAATGTCTTGTACATACCTCATCGTGACCAAGGAGTGTACCCAGTGCAAGAACGGAGCCCACCTCACGCACAAAGGTGAGTGCAACTTGGAGTGTCCTGACGGCTACTACGAGCAAGCACCATCTGGAGGGGGTGCTGTTGGAGGCCTCTGCGCACCTGGGCGCCATTCTTAAGCAGGCCGTGTCTTTCTCATAGTCGTTGCAAGAAGCAAACGTAACAAGAGGAATCGCGCTGCCGGGGAGGCTAACATAATTGTCTCTTGTTGCAGGAGTAGGTTGTTGATCAAGCACATGCCTCATGTGCCCAGCTTAGGTGATATGCCCTGGTGATTGCAATACCTGTGAGAATGCAGAAGTCTGTACGTCGTGTCGGAACAGAGCCTTGCTCTACAAGAACCAGTGCTTGAAGGAATGCCCTGCCACGCACTACCCAGAAATTTCTGGGGACATCGGAGGTGAATGCCTAGAGTGCAAGGGGCTTTGCAGCGAATGCCAGATGGATGACAATTGCACCCAGTGCAAGCCTGAGGGTTTCTTGCATGGAACCTCCAGAAAGTGGCTTCGCCGAGAATCCCTCCAGCACGAAGGCAGGAGATGGCAAAACAAAGTCTTGCGCATTTCGTCGCCGATGCCTGGGCACCTGTACCCTGAAGGTTTAAAGAAAACCTGCGCAAAGCAATGCCCTGTCGGCTTCTACAAGGTGAAGGGCAAGAAGACAAACAAGTACTGGAGCCGGGAGCGTGGCATTAATGGACTTTTTGGAGGCACATGCGAGCCTTGCGGGTCGGACTGTCACGACTGCGTGGATCTAGAGACTTGTCTGAAGTGTCAGAAAAGCGGCTTGGCTGCAGGGCACACGGAGCAATATCAAACTGCGATATTGCGCATCTTGCTGCATGGGGCTCCTAACCTGCAAGGCAAGTTCCTGAACACGAAGAGCCAGTGTGTGAGCGGGTGTCCCGATGGCTTTTGGGGCAAGGGCTCGCAAGCAGTGGGCCGCACCTGCGAAGCGTGTGCAGAAAATTGCACGACCTGCCTAAGCGATGAGACGCACCCTGTCACAAGAAGGGATTTTTTTGGGCTTCCTTGTTAATTAGTTTGGGTCGCTTGACTTTGCCTTGCATAGCCTGTTTGTACCCATGAGCTGACCTTTGAATGTTCGTTTAAGGTGCACTGAGTGCAAGAACAGCAAGATTCTCAGCCCAAGCGGAACTTGCGGCGATGATTGCCCTGATGGCTTTTATCCGCATTCCAGTACAGAGGATGACCCGACAATCGGAAGCCTTTGCGTGGCATGCCCAGAGACTTGCACCAAGTGCGTAAATCCAGAGCACTGCACGGAGTGCAAGTCAGCAACATACCTAACGGATGATCACACTTGTGATTTGATCTGCCCGGACGGTTACTATGGTGATGGCGCTGACGATTTGGGAAGGGTTTGCAAGAAATGCTCCGATGACTGCAACCGCTGTGCAAGTGGTGACTTGTGCTACGAATGCAAGAACCACAAGTTCTTGACACCAAGCGATAAGTGTGAAGCTGAGTGCCCAGAGGGGTACTATGCTGACATCTCTTCCGAAACTCCATCTGTGGGCGGAGGGCTCAGAAAAAGCCAAAAGGCTAGATGTTGTGATCCTTTTGTTGCCAACGTAACCAGCTTGCTGCTCTCAAGGTGGCCTTTGCTTACCATGCCCGAATGGATGTGCTGCTTGTGATGGACCAGACAGCTGCACTGTATGCAGTGACAACAAATTCTTAAACAGCCCTGGCCTGAGCGATGGCTAAGAAGCAATTTGCATGCCCATGTGCGCTTGTTGTGCCCCGCTTGTAGGCAAGTCTCGCCTCAACCCGTCCAACGAATGCGTGGAGAAGTGTGCAGAGGGCAACTATGGAAAGACGGGCAAGAAAGATGGAACTTATGGGACTTGTGAGCCCTGCCCCGCAGAATGTAAAAGCTGTGTCAGCGCAGACGAGTGCTTGTCCTGCATAGACGGTTCCGTACTTAGTTGCCATGTGCTGGCTTTGCTTCTGAGTCTGTGTGTCTCGCAGGTCAAAGCGTTCTGTTTGCGATTCTGCACCGAGGCTATAAGTTCTCCAGGTCAGATCGCTCTTGCACCAGTTTCTGCAAAGCCGGCTTCTTCAAAAATGAGAAAGGCAAGTGCCAGAGCCTTAAGCACCGTCCATGGTGAACACAGCTTCAGTTGTCCAACAACTGGTCGCAGAGATAGCTACACTGAGGTCAGAAATGTGCTCATGGTTGCGCCATGTGCGTGAACGCATTCCTATGCACACGATGCGAAGAGAACTTGTACGCCACTACTGACATGACCTGCGAGGCCGATTGTCCAAATGGATTCTATGGGATCGGGGTGAAGCCCACGGGGCGACGGTGCCAAAGATGCAAGCCACATTGCAGCAAGTGCATCGATGCAGACGTTTGCACAGAATGCTCGAATCGAAAGTTCCTGACCCATCTTGACACTTGCGAAAGCATTTGCCCAACCGGTTACTACCCAGAGGCACCCAACGAGAGCCAGCCCACAGGTGGTATTTGCTTCCCTTGCCCTCCCAACTGCGTTGCTTGTGAATCAGCAGAGAAGTGCACTGTCTGCAACAACAACACTTACCTCACTGAAGACTGGAAGTGCAGCCTGAGCTGCCCAGTTCACTTCTATGGTGATGGTACGAAAGGTGTAGGCCGCAGCTGCATGAAGTGCGGGGACGACTGCGCCAAGTGCGCTGGGGAAGATGTCTGCATCGAGTGCAAGAATGGCAAGTTCCTTGCACCGGATGGAGACTGCGAGCAGAGATGCCCGATTGGATATTACCCATCTACGCCTGCGGGCATGCTGGGCGTAGGTGGAGAATGTCTGCCCTGCGCTGAGAATTGTCACAAGTGTACAGGAGCTCATACTTGTTTGGTGTGCAGGCAAGATTCTTATCTGACCAATGCATCTCTATGTGTCGATGAATGCCCAGTTGGGTTCTATGGTACAGGCAGCGGAGGGTACATGCGAACCTGCCGGCCTTGTGCTGAGCATTGCACTCAATGCATAGGAGCAGAGAATTGCACCGAGTGCATGGACGGCATGTATCTGACACCCAGTGAAACTTGTCAGTCGGACTGCCCTGACGGCTTCTATGGAAGCGTACAGTTGGGAAAGGCGTCTGGTACCTGCGAACCCTGTGCTGCCAACTGCAGCACTTGCATCAATTCTATGGTGTGTACAGAATGTAGAAACTACCAGTACCTGAATGGTGCCTCCTCCTGTTCAGAGTTGTGCGACCGTGGGTTCTACTACCACATGCCTGACGATACTGGAGGAGTTGGTGGGATGTGCAAGGCTTGCACCAATCATGCGAGCACGTGCATTAACGAGACGTTGGCCACGCAGTGCAAGGACAACATGTACTTGTCCTCTTACACATGGCAGTGTGACAAGGGCTGTGCAGCGGGGGAATACCCTGTTGAACCCATCAATGGCATGGGTGGGGAGTGCAGGCAGTGCAACGACAATTGCAGCTTGTGTACATCATATACGTCTTGCACCCAGTGCCAGCATTTCACGTACCTCAATCCAGATGATTGGTGCAGAGACACATGCCCGCCGGGTTACTATGCAGAGAACGGAACAGATGGTGTTGGTGGCTTGTGCAAGTTGTGTCCTCCTACCTGCAATCTCTGCAATAATGAGAACGACTGCACAGAGTGCAAGCGGTGGACGGCTTAGCAAAATTGTCAATCCTCAGGTCTCACAGCGAGTTGGTGCACGGCCTTCTGCTCTGAGGTACACATTCCGCACGCCTGATGCCACCTGCGAGAATGAGTGTCCAGAAACTTGGAGCCGCATGGGGTCAGGTGTTCAGCAGTGATCGCTTCACACCTGAAGAAGCAACTTGTTTCGGACAGCCGAGGACAATTACTGGGAGTTTGGAATGGATGCAATTGGGGGTACATGTGAGATGTGTGCTGAAAACTGCAGCCTCTGCATCAGCGACACGCAGTGCTCGGATCCCAGTGAGTTTTGCTTCCCACTCTGGACCGTAGCTTTGATTTGTGGGCTAGTGTGCCAACTAGTGAAGTCTGCTTCCTGCATATACTAGCATGCTGAGGCACAGAATGCAACAGCTCAATGTTCCTGTCGCGCTCCGGAGAGTGCGTTGAGCATTGTTCTGATGGAGACTTCGAGTTGGGATGGGAGGACCGCGGACGGACCTGCCAGAAGTGTCCGCCTGAAGTCAGCAGGTGCATCAACGCATCCTTCGCGACAGAGTGCAAGGACTCCCTGTACCTCACTCCAGGTGGGAGGTGTGAAGAGACCTGTCCCCCAGGATTCTACGAGCATGGGGAAAACGAAATTGGACGAGTATGTCCTAGATGCGCTCAAAATTGCAGCTTGTGCGAGGATGCGCACACGTGTACGGAATGCCAGAATGCACACTTCCTCACTCCCTGGAACTGGTGTGAACTCGATTGCCCAGTGTCGTACTACAAGTCCGGGAATGAGGACATTGGCAACACTTGTGAGAAATGTCAGACACACTGCCGGACCTGCATCAGCGAGTTTGACTGCACTGAATGCGCAGACAACAAGTACTTGACGCCCGGCAGAACCTGTGAAGGCTCTTGCCCGGACAACTTCTTCGAGTTTGGTCTTGGAGAAACAGGAAGAACATGCCCTCCCTGTGAAACAAATTGTCACAAGTGCGAATCTGCCACTCTGTGCACTGAATGCAACAACTCTTTGTATTTGCTCGATGGCGACTGTGTCTCAGTCTGTCCGGATGGCTTCTTCCACGAGGGTGAGGAAGACCGGGGCCGCATCTGCAGGGAGTGCGACAGCTCATGCTCCAAATGCAGCGGCTGGGATGTATGTCTGGAGTGCTCCAAGGCTATGTACCTGACTCCAAACAGTACCTGCCAAGCCCAGTGTCCTCCGGGCTTCTATCACAATGGCACTGGCGACTTCGGAGCCTTGTCAGTCTGGAAGAGTCGTTCTTTTGGTGTTAAGACCTAATTTGTTTCAGCCAACTTCCTGTCGTCACTTGGCGTGCGAGGAAGAACTTGCCCGATATGCGCGGAGAACTGCAGCTTGTGCACGGATGCGAACACATGCACTGAATGCAGGAATTACACATATCTAACCCACGATGATTGGTGCCAAGCAAAGTGCCCACATGGCTACTACGAACTTGGTGTAGAGGACATCGGCGGGGTGTGCAAGCCCTGCTCTGAGAATTGCCGCGACTGTGCCAGCAAGTCGGTTTGCTTGGAGTGTGAAAACCGGAAATACCTGGATCCCTCAAGCTCCAGCTGCAAAACTTCTTGTTCTGACGGTTACTTCGGAAAGCCGGGGACGGACGTCATTGGCCGCGCATGTGATCCCTGCCCATCTAGCTGCAACACATGCAACACAGGATCCGAATGTACACAGTGCAAAGATTTCACTGCGTTGACACCATTCAGTACCTGTGAGAAGCAGTGCCCGCCAGCATTCTATCCGAATGTCACTGGGGAGATTGGCGGAATCTGTGCCCGCTGCCACGACACATGCAACGCCTGCGAATCAGCTGATGCTCCTTAGCTTCATTTCATGTTGGTTTTGACCCATGCAGCATCTTGCTTGGGGCATCTGGGATAGCTTCTGCTCTTGCCACAGAATGATACCGGGTGTGAGAATGGCAGGTCTGCACTCAATGCAAAATGCACTTGCACTTATCTCCTGATGGCAAGTGCCTGGAGATATGTCCGGTCGGCTACTACCCTCTGGCTGGTGTTGGTGCCCTTGGGGGAACTTGCCCGCTCTGCTCCGAGAACTGCAGCCAGTGTGTCAATGCTACGGTGTGTACAGAGTGCAGGACGCCTGTGTTGGTATTCTGTGTTTGGGTGGTGTGCTGCTTTCCGGGTAACTCTCTTTCAGATGTTTAAGTGTGTGGCATAAGGCATGAGGCTCTTCGTGGAAAATTCCGCAGGTTTCAGTGAGAGCGCGGTGCGAATTGCTTGTTTGTCCTTGGCAGGAACTCCACATTCCTGACGCCGTACTACTCCTGCGAAGCATCTTGCCCACCGGGTTACTTCGGGCACAGCGATGGGGAGATTGGAAGCACCTGCAAGCGCTGCCCTGCGGGATGCAATCTCTGCGAAAGTTTAGAGGCAATTTCGTCCCTCCTCAAATGAGCAGGGGTGTGAGTGTGACTGCTGGATGTTCAGCCATAGGGACTCGCATGCAATTGCAGGTTTGCACACAATGCAAAGACCATAAGTTCTTACAGCCGGATGGAACGTGTGGAGATGTGACGGAGCGGCAAAGACTTTATCCACGCAGGTTTCATGTTTGGTGGCAACACTCTTGAATTCGGCACCTTTCCGGCTCATCTGAGGTGTGTCCGCCTGGCTTTTACATGCTTGAGGGCACCGGGGTGTTCGGCATAGGAGGGACGTGCCCCCTTTGTGCCGAGAATTGCAGTCAATGTGCCTGGCTTAGTGCTTGCAAATCCATCTTCTGAAAAGTTTGGTCCAAAGCTTTCCAGGGTACGGAGAGATGCCGAGGTCTGAATGCGACCGTCTGCACGGAATGCAGGAACAGCACCTACTTGACTCCTTTTGGCTGGTGTGCTAGAGATTGTCCGGCTGGATCGTACAAGCTGGGCAATGTGACTGTCGGACGTACCTGCGCGACATGTCCTTCAAGCTGCAATACCTGTGAGTCGGGCACCTGGATGTATCCACTTTGCAGTGAGTGTCACCACGGTTGCCCCCGCTGGTTGTGGCTGGTAACGCCCAGTAGTCTCAACTTCTTACTTCCATCCCTCTCGCTTTCACGCCTGTCAATCTGGAAGCACTCTGCGTCCCTCCCATCCGTCTTCGGCTTTCTGCAGCCCAAGGGGTCAGGTAGATCGATGTCAAGAGCTTTGTGACAGCCAGTCAAACTGTCTGGGCCTACCCTGTAGCAGGGCTCGAGGTACATGGATAATTCGTTTCTGAAGTCACAGTGCTCTTGTCTCTTCCCTCATTGTCATTGTCAGGTCAGACACATACTGCACGGAGTGCAAGAAGTCCACATACTTGACGAGCACGAATGACTGTGAGGCAACTTGCCCATCAGGCCTGAGTTTGCTCTACGCCAAGGTAGGAGCGTAGCAACGAAACTGCACTTCATTTGCCTTGCAGGCTACTTTGCAAAGCGTGCCGGCAAAGTGGGAGGGCACTGCGAGGAGTGTTCTGCGAAGTGTCGAGAATGTGTGAGCGCCACCTGCCCAGCATGTTCATGTTCATGACTTCTAGAAAGTTGTTTGTGTTGTTCCCACACCAACTCAGGAAGGTGTCTGCACCAAATGCATTGAGCCCTACTTCCTGGCCCCAAGTGGTGACTGTGTCGAGAGGTGTCCGGATGGGTATTTCCAAGAGCACTTTGATGGTGGCATCTGTCCTATGTGCCCAGAAAACTGCGCGACCTGCGACAGCAGGGAGAAGTGCACATCATGCCGCAAGGGCACCTTCATGACGGAGTACCATCAGTGCAGATCGATATGCCCGGCAGGATTTTATGGCTTGTTCGGAAGCTGTTACACTTGTCCAGACACTTGCAACTTGTGCACATCGGTCTCTGAGTGCACCGAGTGCAAGGATGGCACGTACTTGACGCCAAGTGGCACTTGTGAATACGCCTGTCCTGATGGTTGCCACGCACGTGGAGAAAGTCCAATTGGCAGGTTCTGTTCGAGGTGTCCCTGGACCTGTTTGACTTGCCTTAGCGACGACGAATGCACATCATGTAAGAATCATTCCTGGCTCAGCCCTCACAAGATGTGCGATTTTACTTGTCCTGACCATTTCTACAAAGATGGTGATGAGGAAGTCGGCAATGAATGCAAGATGTGCCCCGGGGATGCGAGCAAGTGCATATCCGCAAATTACATGAGTGAGTGCAAAAATGGGAAATACCTGACACCGGATGCGAAGTGCGAAGACTCCTGCTCGAAGGGTTATTACCCGGCTGGCTTGGAGTCTTTCGGACGAACCTGCTCAGCATGTGCACAGAACTGTAGCGCCTGCGAAGATGCCGCTTGGCTGATACGGTCCTCATGAGCATGTCAGGCACTTTGATGTCTGTAGCCTGGTGTTGTGTTCCAGAACTGACACTTAAGTAGGGATGTGGCTGTCCTTTCCTGTGCGTGTTTTGAGGCTACGGTGTGCACGGAATGCAGAAATGGGAAATACCTGACTCCAGCAAGATGGTGCCAAGACGAATGCCCTGCTGGATACTACCACAGTGGCACCGAGCTGGTGGGACGTAAATGCCTGCCTTGCGATGACCTATGCAATCTTTGTAATTCTGCAGATGTTTGTGTGGAGTGCAAGGATGATTCTTTTCTCACTGGGTCGTCAAAGTGTCAGATGACATGCCCTGACGGATTTTGGGGAAAGCCTGGTATACAAGGTATCGGAGGTGTGTGCGACCATTGCCCACATACATGCCACACCTGTTTGGGACCGATGGAGTGTACAGTTTGCAGGGACCAGTTCTATCTACAGGATGGGGAATGCTTGCCCACTTGTCCAGTGGGTTATTATCACGTGGGCGACACAGATGTGGGTCGCGTTTGTGAACATTGTCCGGCGCAGTGCAAGAGCTGTGTTGGTGAAGATGTGTGCACAGAGTGTCAGGACTCCTTGTATCTGACTCCCGCATCGACTTGTGAATCTTCATGCCCCGATGGGCACTACAAAAACTATGTTGGCATTGTCGGAAGCACTTGCCCGACGTGCCAGGAGAATTGCAGTTTGTGCACCAACGCAACCTTCTGCACACAATGCAGGAATAGTACTTACCTGACTCCTGATGGAAAATGTGGCCCATCCTGTCCTGATGGCTACTTCCCTGAGGGTGAGGATGAGATTGGCCGCGTGTGCAAGCCGTGCGCAGCACCTTGCAACAAGTGTCTGTCTGACACTCATTGCACACAGTGTCGGGCATCCACATATCTAAACCCGCTGTCCAGCTTCTGCGATGACACGTGTCCTACGGGCTTCTATGAGGATGGTATTGCAGCGGTTGGCCGAACATGTGAGCCTTGCGCGCAGCACTGCGAGAAGTGTGAGTCCAGATCCGTGTGCACAGAGTGCAAGAACAGAAAGTATCTCATGGGCCACTCGTGCGCAGACTCCTGCCCAGAAGGCTACTACAAGCAGGGCATTGCAGCCATTGGCAACACCTGCCAAGCCTGCTCCAAGGAGGGGCGCCGCGGGTTGTTGCTACTTAGCTTCTTGATGCTTCTCAGTTCTTTCTTCAAATGCAGCTGTGTGAGATATGCCTGGAGTAGCTAATAGCTGGACCAGGTTTTTCAGTGAGACTCTGGCAGGACTGCAAAAGCTGCACAAGCCTCGAGCGCTGCGAAGAGTGTGCCAATTCGACCTACCTTACAGCCAGTCATCGATGCTCCAAGGAGTGCTCCTCGGGCCCCTGCCTTAGAAAGAAGTGTGTTAGCGGCTAGAATATGGTAGTTTCCCAAAATTAAGGGGACCCCAACATAGACCCCAAAATACTATAATCCTTATTATGGGGACCCCCAAACTGGTACCCCTAATTATGGGAAACTCCCATATCTAATGTCCTAAGGGAAGAGGGAATTGACTGATGAGGGCTTATGTTACCGATCGCATGCGTTGAAATGATCCAGCCCTCAGGCTTCGTGGAAACTGGCGATCAAAGCACCGGCCGAACTTGCGAGGTATTGTGCTTCTGGTGCCATTAGTGCAAAAAGACTTGGTTGCAGTTGCAGTAGTGGAATGATCTCAAGGACTTCAGCAAGAGCTATGTTTGCATGTGCTTGGGCTATTCACGTCTGTGCATCCGTACCCAGCCTTTCATCCAGAAGCATGCCTTCATGCTCGGATAAGCATCTCAGGCAGTGGGGCCAAGGCTTTCATCATAATGTGTCCCATTCATAAGGAGTGGGCAAGAAAGACCTTCGGAAGTGGCTGCATGCTGCAAATGCTTGAAGGCACTGTAAGCGATGAGGGGTAGTAGGGGAGCAGCAGCCAGGGCTCGGCGTTGAACTAGATGTGAACCTTCAACTAAGCTGAACTGGCTTACCACCTCCTAAAACTTCTAGTGCTCATTCCAAAAATGCAAATCAAGACCAAGCAGGAGGCTTTGCCACAGCGTCTACAATCTGAGCCCAGGTTCGTGTGTCCAGGAATTTCTAGCAATCCAATGGCTTGCGAGTCATTTTCATATTAGCGATTTCTCCAACAAAGACGAAACGTGGGATCGCAGCTTTACTCAACCTCGTGAACAAACGCAGAAGCTTCTAAGCACTTTGAGAAGACCAAGCGTGCAGTCTGGTGGTGTTAGAGTTAAGTTTACTGGCATGAAGCAACATGTGTATGTAACACTTACCAGGCATGTTGGGCTTTGATGTCATTCTTGTGAACCGTGCTATGGCCTTTTGCAGAAAGTTTATGCCATGGATTCCGATCGCGCGAGCTACCTTCAGAAGTTGCGAGAACAGGAGGCCGATTGCGGAGTTGAGGATATAATGGAAACTACTATGTATACTGGGGTTAGAGGAGACTGCACAAGAACATGTATTGGGGTTATACAGCGGAAAAAGGAAAAGAACATGGAAACTATTATAGCAGGGTTATATGGGGTTTAGGGTTGAGGGTTATTGTATTCACTCTGCATTGGCAGCCTCGCCCACCTGGAAAGGTGATATACCCCCGTTTGCACTACATTGCTATGCCACCCCTGTAGCCGCTCAATAATATGGGAGTTTCCCAAAATTATGGGTACTTTTTTGGGGGTCCCAATAATAAGGACTATAGTATATTGGGATCTATATTGGGGTTCCCTTGTGTAGAGAAACTACCATATATCCCTGCCAGTAATGCCTTCCAGCTTGTTGAGGGGGAACTCTAGCTTTTCGCAGTACTGTAGGCTCTTCAGCCGAAGCCAGTATTATCGCTCCAGCCCGTTTAGGCATTCGTAGGACCCCTAGGGATTGATTGTATTAGGGTATATGGGGGTAATGGAAAAGAAAATGGAAGCTACTATTTAGGGCTTACGGTTTAGGCCAATACTGGAGAATCAAACGGAACATGAAATTGTAAACGGAAGCTACCGCATATAGGGTTGGTCAGGGGAAGCTCCCATTTGAAAAGGACCCTTTAGCTTGAAGTTCGCCACCCGAACTGGGTGACAGTCTAGTAGTGGCTTTGGTAGTGGTTGTTGCCGTCCTCCTCCTCCTCCTCCTCCTCGTGGTCTTGTTGTCGTCATCATCGTGGTTGTGGTTGTGGCCCTTATGATCGTCATTGCAGCAGCAGCAGAAGCAGAAGCAGAAGCAGCAGCAGAGGCGGCAGCAGTAGATAGCGGTCGCAGCCTAGTCCCCAGAGCCCAAGGTGCCGTAGACTTCCAGGAACAGAGCACGAAATGATGCAAAGGGGAAGGGTCGAAGGGTGGGCAGGTGTGCCTGCCGAAGCAGGCATTCATTCCTTTTGGCATTGAAACTTGCGCGCTGAAATGGCAGATATGTTCCGCATGCCTCGGTATCCAGGTGTATCAAGTCCATTATCATCACAAAGTCAGGCAGTTTTTATACTAAGCCAGGGAGCTATATTTATACTGCATGTATCAAGCTTTGTATTTGGACTGCTGATGCGGAAAGTAGTGATAGGCTTTGATAATTTGTTGTTGATCGAATTTAGACTTGCAACGTCAAGACAAGTATGTTGCTTGTCTGGCTGGACGACGTCATGCCTGGCTTGCTGTTCTGCAGTATGCAGGCTGGCCGCGAAGTGTTTTTGCGGCCCTTGCCCCCAGAAGCAACAGTGGGAAGCTAAGTCTTGTCAGCTTGTGCTCAGCTTCTGAGCCGGAGAAAGCTGATGTGTTTTTCCCAAGTGGTTCCAGGGGTAACATTGATTTATATTGGGGTTCATTAGTATTGGGGATAATATTGGGATAGTGGAAAATAAGATGGAAACTACTACAATGGTTTAGGGTTTAGGGTTATATTGGGGTTATGTAGGGATAATGGAAATACAATGGAACCTACCATTTAGGCAGAGTGGTTTATTCGTCGAATGGCTTGTCAAGACCCGAGGCAGATACGGTGCGTGACATGGTTACCCAGCGGTGCGGCGAGGCCTTTCCACGGTTGATCTCAATGCGTCCCATCTGTTGGGACTTGGGCCGGGCAGGAGAAGGTGTTGGGCTGATTTGGGCTGATAGGGTGATCAGATCTCAGGAAGGTGATTCCGGGACAGATGAGAGTCCAGGTTGCATCCAAACATAAGTTCGACTAAGGTTGGCAACCGCCGAGAAGAGATTTGTCATAGAGAGTTTGGTCTAAAATGCATGTAGGTAGCTAACGGCGCCGGCTATCAAGCTGCAAGCTTGTTGTTGGACGCTTGTCAGTGTTGTGACAACTACGAATCCCAGTCTCAATCTATCAGCCACCTCTGTTGTTAGCTTTCGTCGGGCAATGCTGCCACGCCAGCTCAGCACGTTTGCTTTGGAGAGCATGCTGGACAGGACACAGTAGGCATCGACCGCGTGAAGTTAGTCAAGCAACTCGGCGCGATGGCACGTCCATTCAGGCAACCTGCAGCGCCAGCTCATCTTACTGGTTGCTAGGAGGGAATAAGGGAATGTAATTAGATGATCCCTATATAATATGTTCCCGTATCCCTTTCAAATTTCCGGTAAGTCATGCTGCTGACTGCATTTCGCTTTGCTTGCCCGCGGTTCTTGTTCCAAGGCATGCTGGCGGCTCGCTTATGTCTGCCTTCGTGACATTGAGCACTGTCAAGGAGGCATTTGCCAGCGGTTGTCTTACTGGTCCGAAGTTGGGAATAAGAGAATATTTTATACATTTTATAGGGATATATAGGGATGGTATAAAGATTATATACCCTTATTCCCTAGTAACCACCGGTAAGTTTTCTTGCAGGAGAGTTAGGCAAACAGCAACTTCTGTGATGGAGTGATGATAGTTTTGTTTCAACTGGTGCCGGGCCGGAATTCCTTTTGCAGGATGACGTACCGTAGGCTTCTGCATGGCTGTGCTTAGCTTCTGAGACGGCTCCACTCTATAGGTCCAAGTTTTCCTGCTTGAAGCCTTCTTGAAGCCCTTGATCTTAGCACCGGAATCGAGGCTAGTTGAACCTGAAGTTATGGCTGTGGACCGAAATTCTTAAGCTTGTTTCAGGCTAAGAAGGTCACCAAGCGCTTGGATGGTGCCAAGGTGAAGGGCCAGGCGCATTGATTGGTTCAAGCGGATGTGGATAGAAGGATGTGGAAGAGAGTTGTGAAGATGCGTGATGCTGGTGTTTTCCGGTGCATGGGGAAGTACATGTTGTTCATGTATACAGAGATGCATGATGGTGCATGGCTGTTCGACAGCAAGAGAAGGTGGAAGGTGCAGGAAGCATTTGTGCTTGATGGAAGGAAAAACCTTGGCCCTCTTTACTGACCTTAGGGCTTCGTGCATGTATAAAGCTTCACACTTCGCAGCGTGTGGCATGCCGGCATAGTGTCGACTGCGATGCCAGAGCTAGTTCTGCAACGAGCCAATGACTGCTGCCGCTGATGACTGATACGGTGCAGTATGAGCTCGCATACCAGAACAGCAACAGAAGGGCTATGCCATGTAACAGGTTCTTGCAGCCAGCGTGGCGCGGAATCAAGGACATAGTCGCGTGAAGGAGATGGGAATGCTGGGAGTTGGGAAGTTCAAGATTTGCGTGTTGGGTATGTAGTTGGCGCACACACTTGATGTTGAGGGTCTTGATTTGAGATGTGCTGGAATCGATTTTCCCAAGGAGCCTTGCATGTTCTTTTTGGAGGGCAAGTGTCAGAGTCTTTTGGCAGGAATTAAGCCTCAGCCACCAACGGTGCAGACTTGCTTTGGATGGTCGGCTTGTCGATGAGCTGAGGAGGGCAGAATTGCCAGTACCTCCATGATCCTAAAGGTCAAGGCGGGATCATGTTTTTTCAGAATCCCATGGATCCCTTTGTGGATTAGCTTTCCGGGTTGGCTTGCAGGCAGCGGCCGTCGACTGCCACCTTGCCGCTTCTATGCAGCAGGCTGGCTGGAGGGTGGGGTGGAGGTGTCAAACCGTTGCCAAGCATCGATGCTTCATTCTTTGGCGTTGCTGAACATGTATTTGTCACCCCAAGGGTAAGAAGTTCAGACTCAAGCAATGTCCCCTCAGTGCACGAGCTAACGTATGCCATGGAAGGAAGCTGTTCCCGTGGTGAAAGCTGCAAATTCTCTCACGAGAGGCCTTCGCTCTCCATGCTTCTGGGGTTGAGCGCAAGTGTGCAAGCCTGTGCGAGGTCCTATGAAGCCATGCCGGAGGAGGGTGTGGAGGATCAGGAAGAGGCCAGAACCCCCAGTGATGATTCCCGGCCAGCAAGTTAGAGCCACACTTTTTTCCTTTTGGATATGCAGGTCCCGGAAGAAGTGGGTTTGAAAGCAAAAAAGACGTCAAAGTGCAAGAGTGATCCAGATGCAAGTGATCCAGGGGCTGGACTCAAAACAAAGCTCAAGGAGAAGCGTGCAATTCCGAAGGCCTCATCGTCGCAACTTTTTTTGGATGAGAATGAGGGCAACGAGGACTTTGAGATGCCAACCTCGCAGCCAGAGGGCAAGAAGAGCAAAAAGGCTTCGAAGGCAGCTCGCAAGTCTGTGGACAAAACCAGGACCCCTGAAGCTGCCTCAGTTGGCATCGAGACAGAAAACAAAAGACGGAAAGTGAGTCAGGCACCCCTGAAACTGCAGTCGGAGGGGGATGTGGAGGTGGGGAAGAGGAAGCGGAAGAAGCGTTCAAGAGCAGCTGACGATTCGGAGAGCATCAACCAGAAACAGGACTGAGATTGGAGAGCCTGTCAAACTAGTTTCACACCCCAACGCACATCCATGCTATGATTGGTTTAAGCGGCTTCAAGTCGGCGGACAAGGATTTCTTAGAGATTCGGACCCGCCGTCACCCTGTAACTCAAGAGTCATCGCACCCCTCCTTAGATAAGCAGAGCCAGAGCTTTGCAGAACAACCCTGAGCCCTGATCTTGCTGGGCAGGCTGGCCTCACTGCCGAGCTGGCATCTGAGGCCAAAACAAGAAAGAAGACGAGACGAACAACTGCCAAAAAGCCCCGCAAGTCGCTTAAGGCGGCTTGAGCCGGCTTAAGCTGGCTCCTTCGGCTTCCTGAATCCAGACCTTCAATCAGCTTTACAGCGGTGAAGTTCAACAAAAAGGTTCTGTGCGAGCTTCTCGGACGCTTTTGACGAACGGACCAGCGGCTCTCCGGGGTTAGCTGCCAGCTCCAGCTCCAGCGAAGGCCGCTTTGTGGAGGCGAGCTGATTTGGCGCGTGTTTGCAATGGAAGCCTCGGCCGACAGACGGGTATCGTGGTTTGCTGCAGAGCGTCACCACTTTGGTTCCCCTTGTTCAGTCTTGCAGGACGCAGGTGCAACAACACGATTGAGCCTGAAAGCAGAAACATAGGAACAACCATTTCCAGCGCTCGGGCCCCCACAAGCGCTGCGAAGCCGACGTCAAAGCGGCTCGCAAGTGTGCTCTTGTGGGAGAAAGCAGGGGCTCAAGTTGGGAAATGCGCTGGCAACTTTCCAGGAAGACACCGGCAAAAAACATCTTTCAGGTTGTTGAACACTGGCTTTCCCTTATTGCTCTCGCTATGTACGTTTGCCAGCTTGAGTCTTGCTGCCTCGCCGTTTTTTGCTCAAAGCCGGCCGTGGTGTGTAGCAAACTTCAGTTGGTATCATGAAGTGCCTTGACTTCGTCTAAGTCGTGAAGCCTTGAAACTGGGGTGCCTTGTGTTGATCGTAGTTGCGTTTGCATGCCCGAGGTTGTTGCCGGTGTACTTGAATGTCTACGATGCGCATCCGGCTTGTTCTTGTTCGGGTTTTCCCGAAAGGTGTCGGCAAGACTTTGCTGCAGGACGATTGAAACTGTTACGCAGGAAAATCTCTGAGCCTCTGCATCACTGAAGCTGGCATCCGGTCCTTTGCCTCTGTTATCTGATGTTTGACGCGTGTATGCAGCGGATCTGGAAGCGCGGCATGCCCGATATGTTATACATACTACGTAAAATTAGGGCCGACTCCCTAAACCCTAAACAGTAGCTACCATTTTCTCTTCCGCTACTCCGATATTACCTCTATAGATCCCTAGGGTCTACATCCTATATCAGTCTTGAGAGTGTGGCTTGGGGACCCGTGCAGCTGCTGCAATGGACGATCCCGTGGCATGTACGGGAAATCAGGACGCATGCCCATGTGTTCCTCCTGATGCATAGGCTTATATGGAGACATTTTCAGAGTCGGATTTGCACATCAGCACGTGGTCGACCTGGGCCCGGTACAAGACAGAATCCTCAGCTAGAGGTATGGCTTCCACTTTTTGCAAAGAATCAAGCAAGCCGACAAAGTGGTATGTTGCAGCTAGCTGACCCAATGCTATGTTGCACCAGCCGCATCCTTCCCAACCGGCATTTGGCTTGACACCACGTGTTTGAAATGCTTCAAGCGCAGAGATGATGGCCTCCAGCGTCCACAGCTGTAGGCGTGGCCCGCGTGCCCCATACGAACATTAACATGTTTGCAGAAGGCGCTCGACTTGATCCTGATCTCAATCCAGATCACCGACCACTGACCAAACATCATAAGAGTAGTAAAGCTGGGCTCTTTCTGGGGAGTAGGATCGTATGTCGGGTACTGCATGTCCTTTTCCTGATAGAAGTCATGTTGCTTGCATGTTAACCCACATGCACAGACATCTCTGTCCAAACAAGAAGACATGACCTGAACCCATGGATCCCAATTCCAAGAACACCTCTTTGCCGGCTAGGAGGGGCCTACAATGCTGCTGGAGATCAGGAGCGAACGGAGAGTGTATTTGCAGGGCTTGGCAAACCGCTCAAAGTCGAACAAACAAACATGTGCTTGCAGTCCATGAACTATTTCAGTGCAGGTTCCAAGGACATGTAATTACTCTTGCACCCAACGTATGGCTGGCTTTTGTGAGTTTCTTGCTTGCAACGGGTGAGTTGGCCAAAAACTCAAGAGCAAAAAATCAGGAGGGCTTGTTATCGCACCAACTGCTTTCCCCAGAATTTGGGAATATCATCAATACACGTTTGAGGCCCCAAAGTCTGTCTGGTACGTACGTTCATGTTGTTTTTTTGAGTGACAAGGCCTCGGCTCACAATAACTGTTTGTGTATGGGGGTTACCCAAAATTGGGGCTACCACTTTGGGGCCTTCATACGAAAAGTTGTAGCAGTTGGGGTTTGTATTGGGGTCCTCAAATTTAGGGAACCTACCGTAACTGTATGCGCCGTGACGTTGTGCACGCTTCGCACTCTTTTATTTTTCAGCGGCTGCAAGCAGAATCCCCATAGCCATTTCAGCTACCATGTTGCGAAAGGTTTAGTCCTGCCGATTCCCCGAAACGATGCTGAATGGTTTTTACTGGAAGAACCTTGCTGATACCTGCCAGCCTTTTAAATCTGGTTAAGCATGCATGGGCCCAAGAGTCAGTCTTACATTTATCCTCCGAGTCCATCATTCAGAGGTAAGCAGAATTCCAAGCCCAGAATGTGAATGAGGTTACAATGAAAGCTCTTCCAGTAATTTGTGGACTCCGTCTAGTCCATTCTAACCTGGAGATCACTGCAGCCACATGGTCAAGGTTCACAAGTATCATTGTCATCGCTGTGATCATCAGCATCATCACTATCATCAACCTCATGGACCTGGAATACCGCTCACAGCTCTGCGGTGCAGTGGAAACTTCCATCGGTTCTTGCGGCAGCAGCTGTTCTGCGTCAGCTTCCAGATCCCTGACATGACCCTGCTCGCATCCTTCTCTTTTTGCGGGCAGTTGTCAAACGTCGGAAAATTGAGATGCTTCCGAAAATGCCTGGATCAGAACTCCAGATTTGGAATAGCATCGGCCTGGAGTGTTGGACATCGTTGTCCTTCCTTCCAACTTGGAGCACTCTCTTCAGCGCTTGCGTGGAGGGGCGTGTGATGTGCACGAGCTGGCAAGGGATAGGATGCTACCGATCACTTCCTGCGTGCTCAGCCTACTGATCTGCGCCCCCGCATGTATGCAGATCTCGAGATGTTGGACTTGTAGATTGTAGATGTAGTTGCAATGCCTGCTGCCTGACCTGTGCTTGTGCATGTTCGCAGGGCTGACCTGCAACTGTCAGTGCAGCCACTAGTGCCTTGCCGAGCAAGGTTTCTCGTGACCCATAGGCGCGCAATCAATCAACCAATCAGTCATGAAACGTCTCAAACCATGTGCGACCATCTAGCATTATGGACTCGCTAGTGCTCAAGACAAACGGTCCAATTGCCAGTAGGTGACTGCAAATAATCCTCGCAGGGCAATGGTTTCGCAGATGCACAAGACGCTTTCTGGATTTGATGCAACACTATCTTCCCAGACTGCGTCCATTGCTGCTCGGCTGTACACTTAGGATTGTAGTTGCATGCTCACACTTGTTGATTCCAGCATCACTGCTAGCTTGAAATGGTCAGCCTCAGTTTGCCAAGCAGCACGCTAAAAAGAGTCAGAGGAGGGCGATCAAACAAATGCAGCGCCTGTGCTAAAGACTTGGCTGTATCTTGGTCTGTCCAAGGAAGCGCTCCGAGCCACCATGGACTCAATGTCTTTTGGGATTTCCAGGAGCAAGTTGTCGAGTGGACTGGCTCCTTGGCATGCCACTGCTATAGGAAAAGTATGTGGAAAGACAGGGGGTATATAAGCATCATGTAGCGATGGTAGTATGTAGAGAGCCCAATTATTCAATGGCAAAGAAAATGGAAAATTAAATGGAAACTGTGGCTCATATAACATCTACACCTACCCCAATTTCCATTTCATTTTCCATGTTCTTTGCCATTGATTCTCTATTCTTGGGGAATTATGTCCCTGAACCCCAAGCCCTTAACAGCAGCTTCCATTTTCATTTCAATTTGATGCATAGCCAAGCATGGGTTGCTTGGTTGGATTCGAACCTCTTCTCATATCTGCCAATGGCTCTGGTTGAATAGAGTTTAGTCAGGGTTTAGGATTTATGGGTTACGGTTCCCTAAGCCCTACACCCTGAACCCTTGTGAATGCCTTGTCCAAGCTTTGTTAGCATCTTCACCCCTTAGGCTTTATGGCTGCAGTGCGTAAACATGACTTGCGGGAGTTTCCTAAGGCCGGTCATCTCCCCGGGGGATAGTAAGGAATAATGGAATATATTCCCTATGTAATCCCTGAATAATCCTTACATAGTCCTATATAATCCCTAAATAATCTATTCCTTTATTCTCTACTACCCCGCAGTAAGTCCAGTGCAAAGCATGGCCACCAACTAATTTCCACCGGCAGGTATGTTTTCTTTCGGGGCTCAGTCTCACATGAGCGAAAGTCTAAACTCCCTAACAGGGGTTATGTAGGGGATTATATAGGGGACTATGTTAGGGTTATTAAGGGGCATATTAGGAGTTTAGATAATGGTTGACATCCTAGAAGTTGTTGCTTTGGCCGCAGACCTGCGCACTACACATTCTTGGAAGTGTCATTCTTGAATGGATCAGAAGACAAATGAAGCAGGGGGTAGTTTACCAAAACGGGGGGGCCCCAATATAGTTCCCCACCTATCCTATAATCCTTCTTAAATCAAAGGGACCCATAGAAAGGTACCCCTAATTTTGTAAAATTCCCAGGCATCGAAGCAGTACGTTAAGTGTGTCCGCCCAAGCTCTCAGGACAGATGCTTGGAGAGCACAAGTGAGAGAATGGAGGCAGGCACTCAGTAATCATTAGTCACCTCTCCTGATCAAATCTGCCTTATAATATAGTATATTATAGTGTATTATACAACAATGGTGATATGGATTATGGGGGTCATATGATAATCATGGAAAAGAAAATGGCAACTACTATTATTATAGGGGGGTCTGACTAGTTTTTGAGAAGTTTAACCGCTCAGGGGAGGTGTGTCTGCGCGGAACTCGGGGTGGCAGATCAATCTGATTTGGCGGAGTAAAAAGCCAGGCACGTTTAAGTTTCGAGTCTTTGAATTGCTGTTCAACCTGAGTACATGGGCAGTGCGGTGCTCCTACTCCTCTGTCAACTACTCCATGATATCCTGGTTAT